TGAGCTGGCCCTGTGGTGAGGTGCATTAACCCACAACCTGCAGTGCCAGCATCCCATATGAGCATGGGTTTGTGTCCTGGCTGCTCCACTTCCAATCCGGCTTCCTGCTAATACACCTGGGAACTGCAGCAGCAGGTGGTCCAAGTGCTTGGGCCCCTGCCACCCACATGGGAGACCCAGAAGTTGTTCCTGGCTCCTGGCTTCAGCCTGGCTCAGCCCTGGCTGTTGTGGCCATTTAGGGAGTCAGCCAGAGTCACCTGTGTGTCTCTCCCTATCTATGTAACTCTGCCTTTCAAATAAATATTTTTTAAAAAACTGCAGAAAGAAGAACTCCTGGGTTAAGGCCATTTCAGAGGATACCTAGACTGGGCCTGGTATAAAATCAGACATCGGGAGTCATTTCATCACGCTCCCTGGCATCTTCCCCCTTCAGGAAAAGGACTCTGTACTCAGATTCCACTCCTGAGTTCATGGTTCATCACTTCCAGCTGGGTGACTGAGTGTTGATGAAGACAGTCTTCAACCTAGTTCCCAGGTGGGAAGGCCTCTATCATGTGCTCCTGACCACCGAGAAGGCCATATGAACTGCTGAAAAGAGTGGACACAAGTCAAAGGAGGGGTGAATGAAAGCCAAAAATAGGCAAAAGACCCGTCGGGAGTGCGTAGGTCACCCGAGGAGCCCTTATGGATTGCCTCGAAGTAAAGAACTGTGGGAGAGAGGAGATCAGTTGGGACAGCTTTTCTAAACTGGTCCAGGGTATGGAACTAGGAATGCCTGGGTAGAATGGGCCACATTTCCAGTAAAGGTCCCCAGTTGGATGTCTTCAGGCACAGGTGGTTCCATGTCCCATAGGGTGGGATAAATGCAGTTCGTGCTGGTTGTCCACACGAGGAGGAGGCATGCAGGAACAAGACTTGAAAAGGCCTGTCATTGCTTCTCCATGCACTGTGAAGATCAGACTAGGGTAATGCCTTCTTTCTCCATAGGAAACATGGACTGTATCTTTTGCCTTTCCAGGCAGGAGGCCACGTTCAGTGAACCCATGGGAGAACTGCTGACCTGCACTCAAATCCTGCATGTGACTGGTGAGCCTGACCGTGGTTATTATTCAGCCCTCCTTCTACTCAGGGCTGGCGTCTGGTGGTATTGTGGAAAGAAGCAGCTCCATGTTATTGTGCTGTTCAGTTGGACCGAGACTTGTGCTTTAGTTCACTTGGCCTTTCCTTTACCTTGGCACTCCATGAAATACTTAAAGGTAAAGAGATGGTCATCAAAATAGAAAAGATAGGACTGAAAATTGTAAAAAGAAACAGATTGTAAGAAGTAAAGACGTTTGGTTCATTGTCAAAGTAATGTGTCTGCCTGTGAGTAGAAAACTAGTATCAAAACAGCTTGCAGGTGTGTGGAAAGTGATAAGTGGCTGGCATTACAGCTAGGTAACATGCACCTGGAAAGTTCTTAGGTTAGCAGGATGCTGGGAGCGGCCCAAACGGCTGAAGCCAATGACAGACAGTGTAACTACTCTCAGCCAATGAGAAACTGGGGGACCTGTGTTTTTTTTTTTTTTTTTGACAGGCAGAGTGGACAGTGAGAGAGAGAGACAGAGAGAAAGGTCTTCCTTTGCCGTTGGTTCACCCTCCAATGGCCGCCGCGGCCAGTGCACCACGCTGATCCGATGGCAGGAGCCAGGTGCTTCTCCTGGTCTCCCATGGGGTGTAGGGCCCAAGCACTTGGGCCATCCTCCACTGCACTCCCTGGCCACAGCAGAGAGCTGGCCTGGAAGAGGGGCAACCGGGACAGAATCCGGTGCCCCAACCGGGACTAGAACCCGGTGTGCCGGTGCCGCTAGGCGGAGGATTAGCCTAGTGAGCCGCGGTGCCGGCCGGACCTGTGTTCTAGGGAATAAGTTGCTCGCTGAAATTGCACTGGTCGTTCCAGCCTCCATACCAGACACTCAGCCGTGTAAGACTGGTAATGAAGTCTGGTTTTTGCTGCACTTCAAGTCCAAGTCCGTCCTTTGTATGCACAGGTAAGGGTGTTCCTCACAGCAACCATTTTTTTAAGTGATTATGAAATTATTCAGGCTTTCTGTTTTTGTCTATTATGATTGGCTATATTTTTCCAAGAACTTATCTATTAAATTTTAAAAATTAATGGCACACATTCATTCACTTGTTAACAGTTTTCTTTTATTAAGTTGCATAATCTGAATTGATACCATGTTTCAAATCTGATATTGGTTATGGGGGGGGATGAGAGACTGAGGGAGAGAATCAATCCTGTAGGGATTTATCAACTTGATTCTTTAAAAATCTCCCATCTTGGCCAGCACCGCGGCTCACTAGGCTAATCCTCTGCCTGCGGCACCGGCACTCCAGATTCTGTCCTGGTTGCTCCTCTTCCAGTCCAGCTCTCTGCTGTGGCCCGGGAGGGCAGTGGAGGATGGCCCAAGTGCTTGGGCCCTGCACCCGCATGGGAGACCAGGAAGAAGTACCTGGCTCCTGGCTTCAGATCGGCGCAGCTCTAGCCGTAGTGGCCATTTGGGGGGTGAACCAACGGAAGGAAGACCTTTCTCTCTCTCTCTCTCTCTCTCTCTCTCTCTCTCACTCTCACTGTCTAACTCTGCCTGTCAAAAAAAAAATCCTCCCATCTTTTGGCTGTGGTCTTCTCAGTTGTTATTTCAAGAACTTCTGCCTTTATTCTACTTTCTCTCTTTGACTTTTTTTTTCTGAACTGTTGACTATTGGTACTCAGTTCACTAATTTCCAGCCCTTTTTTTTTTTTTAAAAAGATTTTATTTATTTGAGAGGTAGAGACAGAGGGAGGTCTTTATCCACTCGTTTACCCCCAAAATGGCCGCAACAGCCGGAGCTGGGCCAGGCAGAAGGCAGGAGCCAGGAGCTTCTTCCAGGGCTCCCACGTGGCTTTGGGGCCCAAGGACTTGAGCCATTTTCCAGAGCTTTCCCAGGTGTGTTAGCAGGGAGCTGGATCAGAAGTGGAGCAGCCAGGACTAGAACTGGCACCCATGTGGGATGCTGGTGCCACAGGCCGGGGCTTTAACCCACTGTGCTACAGTGCTGGCTCTGCCAGTGTTTTCTAATTATATTGCAGGCTCAAATACTTGAGCTAAAAGAGCTAATTTTTTAAAAAGAGATTTATTTAATGGCAGAGTGACAGAGGGAGGAAAAAGGTCTTCATTCCCTGGTTCAGTCTCCAAATGACCGCAATGGCTGGTGCTGGGCCAGGCCAAAGCGAGGAGCCAGGAACTACATCCAGGTCTCCCAGATGACTGGGAATTATGGCGGTATTCCTACTGTGTCAATACCTTATCCCTTACCTATACATATATACGTGCACATCTTGGTGTATTTGTTGAAGTACAGGAAATTATCTCTGAAGATGTTCACAATCATTTATAATGGTTATGGTGGGGGTGGAGTGTTGAGTGGGAGAGAAGGGGAATTCATTCTGCTTACCAAATGGTGCTTTTTACCTATTAAACTATTAAATATTAGCTATCAATATTTTTACTGTTAAGCTGTACAAATTGCATTTGCTAGAGTGTAGATTGAACATGTCCAAAATCAATATTATATACGGTTGACTGTGGAAAATATGAAGTCTTTATTTTCAAAACCCACTAAAATGGAAAAAAGTTTAGGGTCTGTCTTACTGAGTTGTTGGTAACTTTAAATTTAGGAAAAAAGTTATGCATTTTTTGAAGTCAAGAACGCTGATAGAAACAGCCGCAATAGCCGGAATGATGCTCAATAGATTTTCAGTAGTGGGTGACTCGGGTTGACGGACATTGAACCAAACTTCGGGAAAGCACTAGGATGAAGTCACAGGAGTGGTTAGAGCATGCAGCTAAGGTGTAAACTATGGATTAATCGGGATCTCAGTATTGTCTGTGTACACAGCACCTACTGCAAGGGTTTCCTAACTCGCACAGAGCGCACTTGAGTGTGCTGGCCATTCACTGTCTAGCAGTGGATGTGGGCGTGAAGCACAGTAACGTGGCGCACACCTACTCCCTGCCTGGGACTACGTTTTCTGACGTCCAGCTCTCTGCTCACTACCATTTCCAAGACTTTCTGTGGACCACCCTGTGTGAAACGGGGTTGATTTCCGTGGTGTATTGGAAACACTGTGTGTTCCGTCTTTAAGTCCTGCTAAGGTACTACTAACTTATTAAGGGATACATAGGTCTTTAAGTCCTGCTAAGGTACTACTAACTTACTAAGGGATACATAGGTCTTTAAGTCCTGCTAAGGTACTACTAACTTATTAAGGGATACATAGGTCTTTAAGTCCTGCTAAGGTACTACTAACTTATTAAGGGATACATAGGTCTTTAAGTCCTGATAAGGTACTACTAACTTACCAAGGGATACATAGGTCTTTAAGTCCTGCTAAGGTACAGTATACTAACTTACTAAGGGATAGGTAAACGCTGGCGTGGGTACTACTGGATAGCTTCATCTAAAGGAACACCTGTCTGTGTTTGGCGCCCTTCTCGCCTCCCTGGAATAGGACCCGAGCGAGGGGTAGGATATGGTGGCAGTGGCAATGCCTGGCGCCTACGTAAAGCCTTGTCGGATGAGCCCCCAGAAACAGAGCCTTGCACGCTGGGAGAAGGGGACAGAGACACAGGGTCCCAGGCCTTGAAGAGCAGGGAGACAGGGTGGCCGGGTGGAGTGGAGGGGCGGCCTCGGCCCGCAGGCACAGGGAGCGCCCCGGAGCGCGCACGCCTCCCAGGACCTCGCCGCCCTGCGCCGGGACTGCAAGGACAAGGCCCTGAGCCAGACTGCGTCTGCAAGCCGAGTTAATCCCCCACTCGGCTGTCGGCAGCTTCGGCCCCAGGTTTCCTCCCGGCGCGCCTGGCGAGCACGCACAGCGGGTTGCGCTCGGCGCTGAGGGCTTGAACGCCCACCGCGGGCCAAAAACGACGACCGGCCACCTGTTTCCGGGGAACGGTGCAGCAGAACGCACATCCGGCCCTCCGCTTCCGGCTGCCGGCCGGGGCTTCCGGTTTCCGGCCGGCGCTTCCGCGACTGCACGTGGGCGCGGGCAGAGTTGGCGCGTCCGCCGCGGCAGGTGCCGGCTGCGTGATTTCCCGGGCCTGGAGCGGGGAGGCCCCCGGCGGCCGCGAGGACGCCGCGATGGTAGGCCCTGATGTCGCTGGGGAGGTTTCCTAGAGCGCCCTTCGGGCCGGCGTGCGGAGCTTGGGCTCGGGGGGACCTGCCCCGCGGCAGTGTGGCCGCTCGCTGACGCGGGGTCCGGGCGGTTCAGGAAACCCCTGGCAGCGCCGGCTCGGCACCCCTGTGCCCCGCGTGGCCGCATGCACCCGGCGGGCTGCACCCGCTCCCGCCCGCGGCTGCCTCTGAGCCCCCGGTGCCGTCCCGGCTCGGACGCGGTCTGGTGTGTGTGTGTGGGGGGGAGCGAGTAGCCAGCGTGTCTAAACTCGCTTTATGAATAACAGTCCTCGATGAGCAGGTGGGGGGGGGGGGGGGCGTATCTCCAGAAAGCTCCCTCTGACGCGGTGTGTGTCTCTGTTCTCCCTTGTCGGTAGTCACGCCTGCCACTTCGGGAGCTGCAGCCTTCGCTGACACTGTACACCTGCCCCTGCCAGGGTTCAGTCTGTCACCAGGCTGTGCAGTGCCCCCGCCCTCCCTCTCTCACTGCACGTACTGAAAGGCGGAGTGCAGAGGAGCGAGGTCTTCCATCCTTGGGTTCACTCCCCAGGCGGCTGCAGCGGCCGGAGCTGGGCCGGGACACAGCCGGGCGCAGGGGCCCAGGGAGCTGCATGGGAAGTGCAGTGGCTGCGGCTGGGGGCTCCACGCAGCCCATGTGGGTGCCGGTGCTGCGGGCCGCAGCGCGGGCCTCGCCTGCCTGCCTTGTCCCTCTTGGCATGGACGGTCACTTTGTCTGCAGCTGTGTGTGTGTGTGTGTGTGTGTGTGTTTTGCTGTATTGTACACTTTATAAATTCAGGCTCACGGTGCTGGACTTCCAGCCCCTTGTGATTCCTCTTAACGGAGTGGAATAGTAGAGCAGTGTCTCGTGATCACGTGTGAGCGGTGGAAAAGGTCGACAGGCACTGTTCTGTGGCTGTTGACTGTCCCAGCGTCGCTGTCAGTGACTGTATGGAATCCTCTTGCCTGGATGTGAAAGTCAGTCTGTGTACGTCTGTTTTTCTCGTGAGTGCGTCTCTGGCCCTGTCACTTTTCTGGTGCAGCGTCATCGGTGGTGGTGTCTTCTGTTGCCAGCTCTTCACCCGTGTGCTCAGTTCCTGTGGGAATGCCTGCTGGGCAGGATTGGTTAAGTATCTGCAGGGTCACCCTTGGCCACCTGAGAGGTTGGTTGGACCCCCGAGAAGACCAAGACCTGCAGGTGTTCGAATCCCTTCTCTAGAATGGTGTTGCATATTCAGGTGACCTGCGTCCTCCCATAGGCATTAACTCACTGCTGGATTATTTTAAAACCCAATACGATGCACGTGCTCTGTAAATAGCTGTGAGACTGCATTTTTTTAGGAATAATCATAAGAAAAGGGCCTGTACATGTTCACAGATGCAACTTTAGTTTTAAATATTTTCTGTCTTTGAATGGTTGAATCTGCAGATGTAGAACTTGCCTTTGAGAGTTTGTTCATGAGCTATTTAAAAAATTTGTGAGGTACTTTTTTTTAAACATTTACTTGCTTGAAGGCAGAGCAGCAGGGGGGAGAAAGAACCCTTCCATTTACTGATACACTCTCCAGATAGTCTCAGTATCAAGATCCGGGCCAGGCGCGAGCCAGGAACTCCTCCTGGTCTCCCACATGTTAGCAGGGGCCCAAGTACTTGCACCATCATTACACCGCCGTCTCAGGGGTGTGAGGAGGGAGTGGGGTTGGAAGCAGAGCTGCTAGGGGCTGAACAGGTGCTCGGAAGTGGGTTGGCTGGGTCGCGGGCCACGGCTTAACGTGCACAGCACCATCCTTGCTCTTAACATCTTAGATCTGCAGTAAGCCCAGTGTCAGACTGAGGTGGCAGTGAATGCTCGCCCAGGGCATCGTTGTACTGTTTTCCAACTGATTTCAGCCGCATAGGACACACTTGCTGTCTAAGTGACCCGCTGTTGGGCTAACAGGTGGCTAACTAAATGAGCACTGAACTTGCGGATTAGCTTGCTAAATGGCAAATGCTGTGCAAAGTTTCGTGAGATCTGAAAAGGTTTTTCTTGACTCCATTCTTGAATCCACTTGAATCTTAAGTGATTCGTAGATGAGTGGTTGGGGTTTAGGAAGCTTATGTGTGAAATCATGTCATCGCTTCTAAGTTCCAGTTGTCATTAGCTATTTGGCATTGTTACCTGAGGAAAATGTGCTAAGGTTCATCACGGTAGACTCACTGTGGTGGAGGCGGGGAGTGCAGATTTTTCATTAGTCCCTCCCATTCTTCCATTTCATCACTGGTGTTGAATGACTTGTGTGTCATTTATTGGTGGTGTTTAAGGGTGTTTAGTGTTTAAGATGTTAGAAACTTTCTCAGCTGTATGCATGGTTTTAGCCTTAGGCTTTTTTCCTTCAAATGTACATATATCTGTGTGCCTTAAATTGTGGGGAAGACATACATTTAATGGGGTATTGGTTTTCTGACTGGAATATAATTTTTCCAAACATTCTGTTACGTCTGTGAAAACAGTACTTTTGCTTTATCTTTGAAAGTAAGACTTGGGGCTTCTTGCTTTCTGAATTCTTATTTGAAGTGGAGAGAGACAGGCAAACAGAGCTCTCCCACCCAGTGGTACATTTCCTAAATACTGGCGACAGCTGGGACAGGGTTCAGCTGACACCAGGATCTAGGAAGTGGCTGCAGGTCTCCCGGGTGTGTGTGTGGCAGCAACGCAGCTACTGGAGCCATCAGTGCTGCCTCCTGTGGCGCACACTAGCAGGAAGCTGGAGTCGGGAGTGGAGGCAGGACGTGAACTGGGCACTGCAGTATGAGATGGAGATGGCCCAAGTGGTGTCTTACTTGTTTGGATGCTCACCCTCACATTTGGGGCTTCTGAAAACATGCTTATTTTCTATAGAAAATACACCTTAAGCCTTCTTTTTAAATTTTGTTGTGTTTACATTTTGTATTGTGGTATGGATCATTGAATGCTGTACAAAATAACTGGAGAAACCATGACTGATGGGGATGAATTGGTTTGTGGAAGCTTATTTAGCTTGAACAGACTGCTTAGAATAAAATTTGACAGTTTTACTTAAGGTTTTCACTGAAGCATTTTTAAACTTTTTAATGTATTGAAAAAACAATGTTTTGAAAGATAGTAAATTGTATTATACATGTATATCATTCATATCTGGCTTTCAGGTAACTTTTTCATGAATAAATTATTTAACGAACCATAACTACAGTGGAGTCAGAATGTTATTTCAGATTCTTTGTAGTAAGTCATGGAAGTTCTACAAGACTTTCTAAACTATCTGGCCATTTTCCCATACAAAGTGTATTAAGTTCTTTTTAAATCTTTACAGGAGAATTGTGTTGACTTGGATGTACTACTGAAACAATTAGGTAACTTCAGTTTGAGTCTTAGTGGATTTGGAGACTGTCTTCATTTTTAAAGCATTTGTGCAGTAAAGATAATCTTTTCAAAGAGTACATCTTTGCTTTATTTTTGGTATTGTGTTATGTGTCCCTGTGTAGTAAGTTAACCTAAAATTCAATGGCTTAAAACAGTAACCTTTACTGGCTCAGCTTCTGTGGGGTGACTTCTGCCTCAGGGCTTCTCCCAAGCTTGCAGGGAAGGTGCCATCCTGTGGTTCGGGGCACTGCCCGAGAGGAGAGGAGAGGTGCACTGCTAGCTGGCGCGCCTGGTTCCGTGGGACTCGGCACCCTGTGCACTGCTGCACTGAGGACCTCCGCTCGCTCGCTCTTTTTTTTCCCCCTTTGGGGAGGAGAGGAGACAGAGCTTCTACCCACTGGTTAACTCCCCCAATTCTGGCCCTTTAGCTGGAACTCAGTCCAGGTCTCCTCCATGGGTAGTAGGAATCTAAATAGCTGAGCCATCACTGCTGTGTCTCAGGATGTATGTTAGCACGAAGCTGAAATCGGAAGCCCAGCCAAGGGGTGGTGCCTAGGTGCTGTGGTGTGGGAGTCGGGTGTCCTGACCAGCTGTTAACTGTTGAGCTAACACTTACCTTAGGGCCTCTGTTCTTCACTGGTTATTAACTGGAAGCCTCCCTCAGTTACTTGTCATGAGGGCCATGACAGCTCATCTGTATCAGAGTGAGCCAAGAGATAAAGCAAGAAAGATTGAGCAACTCAAAGCCAGAGACCTATTATAGTCTGTCTTGGCACTGAAATCCTATGTTTACAAAATTCTGATTGAAAGTGAGTTGCAAGGGTGAACATTTGGTGCAGCCGATGAGTTCCTATTGGGAATGCTGCAACCCATATCAGTGTCAAGGCCCAGCTTTGCTCCCAGTTCCAGGTTCCTGCTAATGCACACCCTAGAAAGCAGCAAGTGACAGCTTACGGCACTGGGTCCCTGCCACCCACTTGGGAGACAGGGTGGGATTCTGGGCTCCTGATGTTGGCCTGGCCCAGTGCAGCTGTTAGAGAGATCTTTCATCCACTTGTTCTGGTTCTGTATTGCCCTGCCTTCAAATAACATTTTGTTAAAAAATGAGTTATTAGGTTCTAGCCCATACCGAATGCGAGGCTGGGGGAATTACAAAAGGACATGATTTCTCAGAAGGCGGGGTTTACTGGGATATCTTAGTGGCAGCCTACCACAGAATCTGAAAGTTTTATGTGCTATGTGTTTCCGGGGTAGACTCGGCTCAAAATACTTTACGCCTCTTTCTCTCCTCCACCCACCGTGTGCTGCAGAGAGAGACACACAAAAGCATACATAGATTGTTGTTTGTGATGCTTCTACTCTTTATTCCCCTGTACCACTAACCAACTTCCAGTGGCACCTCGGGTTTCAGACTTGGACATATATTCTGAGTTTTATCAAAGTGACCAGAGCACTCTGAATAGTTGTTCAAGAAATAAATATTGTGAGTGAGAATTGGTCATTTTAATTCTGCCTAGAGTTTTACAACAGAAATGATTTTGAGCTGCATTTTATCAAAGGGCAGGTAAGGAAAAGGGTTTTGCAGGCAGTTAGAGCCACGTGCAGCCTAAAGTTAGGACATGTCACAATGTGTTCTGAATGCTGAGTTCACTAAAAGTGGCTGAAGGGTCTTTAGTGGAGGAGTTTGAAAGAACGCTAGAGAAGCAAGTCGGGGATAGTTTTCCGTACTAAAGGATTAGAACCTAACTATAATGTTAGTGGGACTGTTTTAGTGGAGAAAGGTTTGCACAACTACTATTTTAAGAGAAGCTCTGTGACTTCATTGAAAAAAGGTCTAGCCAAGAGAACCTAAAGGGTATCCTGAAGGATGAGGACTGGCTCAAGGCGATCATGACAGTTGTTATGAAAGGAAGATTCTAGCACACTTGGTAGTTTTGAGGGCTAAGTACACTAGAGGCTGCCAGCAATCCCTTATTATATTCTTCTATTCTTTCATAACCCTTTTCTTCACAGATTCATGTTTGCAAGGTAGAGTTTATTCTCAAAATATCCTTATCACATCTCCCTTCTTCCTATTCCACCCCTGTGTGTCCAATTTTTATTTTAGACTAAAGATTGTCTACTTTATTACTAAATTTTAGACGTGAGCCAAAGACTGTACATGTTCCTAAATCATGGCCTTCAGAAGATGGGCTATGCCTTCCATGTTGCTTGGCTATTTTGACGGGCTGGACTGTAGAGCTTTTCATTGGCTGTAGTGCAGCTATCTTGACTCTAAAGATTATAGCTTAAAGTATGTAGAAAACAAGATAGAAGGAGCCTGGATCCCTGAGGGTTTTGCAGAATAGAGCCTCCAACTCTTTGTTGTAGGTGAGAACTAAACTAGCTGGGTAAAGGCACTATTATTTCGGGCTTCTATTACAGAGATTCAAACCTGATCCCTAAATAATACAGGTGGGGTAAGGCAGAGTTTTGTGTAGGAATAAAAAAAATGATGAGCCTTGTTTGGGGCCTGAAGGTATTGTGACCTACCTAACTGGCAGAAGACTTGGTTGGAAACATGTTTTGTTTGCATTTGGATGTGCTAATTTTGAGGTGCTTTTTGATTGCTGTGTTCATAATTTGAATAGACTGTGAGCACACCCTTGATTTCTGCTTGGTTCACTGTCTCTCCCTTTCATGGGCAACGCCTGTAATCAAATTTCCCTCTGTTCATTATGCCTCCTTCCTCTTAATTGTAATGTGAATTTTCAGCTCCGAGTCTCCCCACTCAGTGTTCTCTGTACCTTCTTTGAAGATCGAGCAGTTGAAGAGCTGAGCTTGACTCCTTTTCTATTTCTTTTTGTCCTATCATGGAAGAGTAGTTCTGAATGTAGTTGTTATTAGTGGAACTGAAGACTACTAGAAAGCCTGGCTTACCTCATGCCTAGTGTAGCATTTCTGGCACACTGTATTTTTTGTTACTTTACTGTTATTACAGTTTATTTCTGAAGAAAATGTGTAACTGGCGTCATGTATGTCTGTATATGTCACAGTGTTTTCCTGCCTTTTAGCCTAAAGCACTGAAGGGAAAAGGTGCAGGGCGAGAGAAAAAAGTCGTCCATCCATACAGTAGGAAAGCTGCTCAGATTACAAGAGAGTCCCACAAGCAAGAAAAAAAGGAAAAGTAAGTGTCTTTTTAGCATTGTGTTATATGTTGCTATAAAGGCCTTTGTATATTTATTGTTCAGACATGTTTGCCTTCCTCAATACTGTCCTGTCTTCCTTTAATATCTGCTGTGTATGCTCTGTGCGCTGAAGACAAAACTGAACGAGGCACTCTGCTTTTACAGAGCCTGTCTAAAACCAGGGTGCATCAAAGGAAATTGAGAGAGCTCATGGGACGGTGCTCAAGGGAGGGGTTCTGTTTTAGTGGACAGTCTTGGGAGGCTTCTGAAGTTGAATTGGAGCAGGGAGCTGGGAGGGGATGAGCCATTGTTAGATTAGGCGTCTACTGTATATAGACAAATGAGAGACACAGTTGGATATTTTGGGCCCAGTGTTCAGGAGATAGGTTAGGGATGTTGACACAAATTTAGGAACCGTTGGCTTCCCTGTGGAATTTCAAGCCATGAGACTGGGAAAGATCACCTTATGAGTAACCAGATGGGAACAGGGATTGAATCCAGAGGCCTGCTGCCATTAGAGATGGGGAAAAGGAGGAGGATCCTACAAGTGAGGCTCAGAAATGAAGACAAGTTGAATAGAGTCAATGATTTTTTTTTTAAACAAGGCTTGCCTCTTAAAGAATTTATTTTTATTTGAAAGGCTGACATTGGCTGGCGCCGCGGCTCACTAGGCTAATCCTCCGCCTGTGGCACCGGCACTCCGGGTTCTAGTCCCGATCGGGGTGCTAGACTCTGTCCTGGTTGCTGCAGTCCAGTTCTCTGCTGTGGCCCAGGAGGGCAGTGGAGGATGGCCCAAATCCTTGGGCCCTGCACCTGCGTGGGAGACCAGGAGGAAGCACCTGGCTCCTGGCTTCAGATCGGCACAACGCGCCGGCCGTAGTGGCCATTTGGGGGCGGAACCAACAGAAGGAAGACCTTTCTCTCTCTCTCTCTAATTCTGCCTGTCCAAAAAAAAAAAAAAAAAAAGGCTGACATATATATATATATACACACACACACACACAGAGGATTCTCCCATCCATTGATTGACTGGGGGAGAGATGGGGAGGGAGGAAGAGAATGAGTTCCCTTTTGCTGGTTCACTATAACATACCTACAACAGCTGGGGCCTCAACCAGATTGGAGCCTGGAACCTGACACCCCTATGGAGTACACAATTAAGTCATCACCACTTTTTCTATTCCTTTGCTTCCCTTTCCAGCCCCCCCGCCCCCCCCCCCCTTTTTTTTTTAAAATCTGGAATAATTTTTCTGCATGCTCAGGTCTTAGCCTGAAGATTACCTACTCTGGAAAAGCTTCCCAAATTCTAAAAAGACTTATAAATGCTTTTAAAAAATGCTGCTGTAGCTCTGTATGAGGGAACTTTATAAAGTTCATGGAAAATGTAAACATTGAAAAAATTATTCATGGATTTCAAAAAATACTTTTACATCAAAATAAACTTTACCTTTCCATTGCATCAAAATAGTTTGCCTTTCCATGAACTTTTTGAAATTCCCTCATATACTTCACCATGGTCTTATTTGGCCTTTGGTCATATTTATGTGATCCCTTTGACATTTAGTTATACCTATATGGTCAATTCCACACTTAATATGATCACTTTATCACATAAGATGGGATTAGTGCCATCCAACTTAATGAGATTTGGAGTCCCATGGCAAGTTTTTAGCTTCACCCTTAGGGGTAATTCTGGGGGAATGCGTGCCTATCTGTACAGCTCCTCCCTCTCTCATTGCCACTCTTATTTTTAACTGGGATCTATTTTCAATAGACTTAATACACTTATGATTAATTCTATATTAAGTAAAGAGTTCAACCAATGGTATTAAGTAGAAAAAATAAAATGAAATAATAAACTGTTCCTTGATAGTCAAGGCAAGGCCTCTTTAAGTAATTGCTTCTCATAGTGTCAGTTTTACTTCTACAGATTACCTTTTAGGTGCTCAGTTATCACAGATCAGGGAGAATATATGGTTATTGTCCTTTTGGGACTGACTTATTTAAGTATGTTGTTTTCCAGATTCATCTATTTTGTTGCAAATAACTGGGTTTGATTTTTTTTTTCTTTCTGTTTTTGGCTGCTAAGCAGTATTCCATAGAGTACATATCCCATAGTTTTTTTTTTTTTTTTTTTTCTTTTTTTTTAATCCAGTCTTTGGTTGATGGGCATTTAGGTTGATTCCTTTTCTTAGCTATTGTGAATTGAGCTGCAATAAACACAGAGGTGCTGATGACTTTCATTTGTTGATGTTACTCTGAGGAGTGGGATGGCTGTCATATGGTAGGACTATAGTCAGATTTCTGACGTGTCTCCAAATTGTGTTCCATAGTGGTTTTACTAGTTTGCATTCCCACCAACAGTGGATTAGGGTACCTTTTTCCCCACATCATCGCCAGCACTTGTTGCTTGTTGATTTCTGTATGAAAGCCATTCTAACTGGGGTGGGGTGTCATGTTGTCTTCCTTATTCTTGTTTTTTCTCTGCTCTGTCAATGTATTCTCACACTCACCTGCTCTCCTCAGAAGAGACCACTGCCTTGGTGCTAGCCCCAGTGGGTACAATACTGAGCAGCCAGCGCTGCCACAAGAACCACCCAAAGGATTGCTGCTGTCCTTGGTGTGAGCATGGGTTCCACTGCAGTGACCCTCCCCATGGAATCGGGGAGCCCCCCACTGACTGCCCAAGGTCCCGGTTACATCCAGCACCTTCCCATGCAGCCACAGTGTTCAGTCCTGGCACATCAGGCTTCCACAGTCGCGAGCACCCAGGCCCATGAGTTCTCTCAGCCAGACTCGGTGTCTCCTGTCGGGAATGAGCTGGCACAGCTGTTAGGTCTGTCCAAAATGGCGCCCGCGCTCTCTTGGTAGTTATAGGACACCAGTGCCTGTTGGTGGGGGAGAGAGAAATGTGCCCACCTCCCCTTTTTTTCCTCTTCTAAGTTGTGGGGTACACTGTCCCCCACAGGCTCCAAGCTGAACTCATGCCAGGCTCTTCATGCAACTTAGTGGTTTGGGCTGCTACAGTCTGGCCTTGCTTCACTCTCCAAAGCTGGTTCTGAGGCTCTGAGCTCCAGGGATCCAGAGTTGTACACATCCACGCCCTCCGCGTAGGTCCACAGTGTCTATAAATTGTGTGGCGTTTCCTCTGGAATTTCTCCCTAACTCTTCTCTGAAATTGCACTCTGTACTTTTTTTTTTTTTTTAAACTATCTTCCCCTAGACTAGAGCAGTAAACGCCCTCCCTATTCCGTCACCTCGGAAAAATCCTGAGAGTAGATCTTTGAGTTTGTTGCTGTATCCCTAGGGGCTAGTGTGAAGTTGGGCAAAGATGGTGTCCAGTAGTGTCTTGAATGGATGAGTATGTAGAAGATCAGTAAGAGCAGTCTTGTTTCCTACACTGTTTCTGAGAATAGATTTTTTCCTTTTGTCATAATTCTTTTCAAGTAAGTATCCTATTTTTGTCTGTTTTGTTGAAGTTTAAAAGGGGCCGCCAAGACCAGAAGGCATCTAGAAGGTGCTCATTGCACTGGGAACACGTGTTCCACAGTTTAAAAACCCGCCACAGCATTTCTAATCCAACCAGACTCTTACATTGCCTTTTTTTTTTTTTTTTTTTGATAGAGTGGACAGTGAGAGAGAGAAGTCTTCCTTTTTCCGTTGGTTCACCCCCAAATGGCCGCCACGGCTGGCGCGCCGATCCTGAAGCCAGGAACCAGGTGCTTCTCCTGGTCTCCCATGCGGGTGCAGGGCCCAAGCACTTGGGCCATCCTCCACTGCACTCCCTGGCCACAGCAGAGAGCTGGCCTGGAAGAGGAGCAACCGGGACAGAATCCGACGTCCCGACCAGGACTAGAACCCGGGGTGCTGGCGCTGCAGGCAGAGGATTAGCCTAGTGAGCTACGGTGCCGGCCAGACTCTTACATTCTTGAAATTAGGCTTTCTTGAGACATCGAGGGCCTAAAAAAAAAAGTTCACAGGTAACACTTTGTTTAAAAGAGAAGCGTGGGGGCCGGCGCTGTGGCGCAGCGGGTGAACGCCCTGGCCAGAGGTGCCGGCATCCCATATGGGCGCCGGTTCTAGTCCTGGCTGCTCTTCTTCCGATCCAGCTCTGCTATGGCCTGGGAGAGCAGTAGAGGATGGCTCAAGTCCTTGGGCCCCTGCACCCACGTGGGAGAGCCGGTGGAAACTCCTGGCTTCGGTTCGGTGCAGCTCCGGCTGTTGCGGCCATCTGGGGAGTGAACCAGCGGATGGAAGACCCCTCTCTCTCTCTGCCTCTCCTCTCTCTGTGTACCTCTGACTTTCAAATAAATAAATCTATTTTACAAAAGAGAAGCATGGTATGCAGTATTTAAGTGTCTGCAGTCATGGCATAGTAGGTTAGGTTGCTGGCATCCCATATAGGCACAAGTTCAACTCCTGGCTGCTCCACTTCCAATTGAGCTCCCTGCTAATGCGACTGGGAAAGCAGTAGAAGATGGCCCAAGTGCTTGGGGCCCTGCACTCTTGTTGGAAACTGGAAGAAATTCCTGGTTTAGGCCTGGCCGCAACCACTAGGGCTGGGCCATTTCTTTTTCTTTTTTTTTTTTTTTTTCTTTTGACAGGCAGAGTTAGAGAGAAAGGTCTTCCTTCTGTTGGTTCACTCCCACATATGGCTGCTATGGCTGGTGCTGTGTCGATCCTAAGCCAGGAGCCAGGTGCTTCCTCCTGGTCTCCCATGGGGTGCAGGGCCCAAGCACTTGGGCCATCCTCCACTGCACTCCCTGGCCACAGCAGAGAGCTGGACTGGAAGAGGAGCAACCGGGACAGAACCGGCACCCCAACCAGGACTAGAACCCGGGGTGCTGGCACCACAGGCAGAGGATTAGCCTAGTGAGCCGTGGCGCTGGCCGGTTGTGACCCTTTCAAGAGTAAACCAGTAGATGGAAGTTTTCTGTCTCTGCCTGACTCTGTATCTCTGGCTTTCAAATAAATAAATCTTTAAATAAAATTCATCTTTGTGAAAGTATGCTCTTTGTATTAAAGCTCTTTGGGCAGGTTTTTGTTTTTGACAGATTTATAAAACTTGCTTTGCATCTTTTCTAACATCTATGTACTTTTTATTCCAAGATTGAAGAATGAAAAGGCTTTGCGTCTTAACCTTATTGGTAAGTGGGTTTATGTATTGGAATTCTAATTAGAGCATCGTGAATTTCGGACTTTTTTCTTTCTTTTTATTCCCATAGTGAAGTACTACTTTTATTGAAGTGAATTTTCTTTACCAGATTGCCAAATGAAATAAATCAGTCATTCAACTATGAGGATGAAAGTTAATGGTTTCTAGTTCAGTGTTGTATTGAGTTTATCTGTGTAGCTACCTGTCTACTTGCATCTGGCTATCTGAAGTTTAAATATTGATTCCTAACCTTTGGGCTGTGGAAGTCATGGCCTAGGTATTATGGTAACAGTGGTTCATGTTAACTGATGTGGACACAGACATCTTTGTGTATCTCAGTGTCTGTCTTATTTTGAATTTTTGGTTAAATGTATTGTTTTTACTAATGAGAGCTTTTTTTAAAAAAATGACTTTAAGTCTGTATTTCAAAAATTAAGGATTTTTGAACCATCATCTTTAGTGTTTCCCCAGGTGATAGAATAGTATTTTTATTTGGAGTTTTGTATGCTGGGCAAGGCTGCTTCTTGAGATTTTTTAATTTAAAAACTTATTTATTTGAAAGAGTTGCGGGGGCAGAGGCAGGGAAAGGTGTACCTTTCATCTGCTGATTGACTCCTCAAAGGGCTGGGCCAGGACAGAGCAGGGAACTTTATCTGCATCTCCCAGGCCATTAGCAGGGAGCTGGATTGGTAGTGGGACAGCCAGGATACAAACCGGTGCCCATGAGGGATGCCAGCGCTGCAGATGGCAGCTTAATCCATGGTCAGATTTACTCAAGGATGAGTTCTGCTGGCCCGTTACAGTGTGTGTCAGACACTTTCCACAGGACCTGGTAGCTGTTGCAGCTTTCATGTGTTTATTAACTTGGTGGCTCTGTGAAGCTGTTTGATCACTTATCTGTAAAGGGGGTAATACTATACTAATCCTCATAGTGTTGTAGAACTCTAGCATAGTGCCTGCAGCTTATTGGCTGTTCAGCAGATACTAATCAGGTTTTCACATTTGATAATTCTGTCCTCTTGTAAATTTGTGAAACTTCATATTTTTTAAAACTTTTGTATCTATATCAAATAAGAAGAGTATTGTTGCCATCCATCCATAAAATTGACAGTTTTCGTCAATCTGCTTTAATTCCCTTTGAGCCCTTACATGACTTTATACCTAACTGGAAGTATGTCTGTTGTATATTGATGTTGAGAATTATGAATAATGCCTCTTGGCTTAAATGATGTCTTGTGGTGCTAAACTACCTTGGCGCTGTTGTTTACAGGAGAAAAACTTCAGTGGTTTCAAAGTCATCTGGATCCCCAGAAGGTGAAATACTCAAAGAAGGATGCTTGTAACTTAATTGAAAGGTAAATGCTGGGCACATTAGGAGCGATGTGACAAGAAAGGTAATTTCCCGGATCTCCCAGCCTGGGTCTGGAAGAAACAGAGTCCTATCCTGGATGCGTAGAAAAGCAAATGGGCTCTGTCGGGTCCTGGCTTGGCCACTTCAGCAGGTTATAACCTCCTGAGTCAGCAAAGACTCCCTACAGGAGTGTCTCTGACATTGGCACCACGTAGGCAGAGGTTCGTAGAGTGAGGTGAAGTAATTTGCAGTCTCTAACCCAAGACAAAAGTATCCTAAGGGCACAGAGGTGAGAGCAAAGAAAATGTACTTGGTGATTTCCAGATGTTTAATGTGACTGGAGTAGTAAGTTGAGAGAGGATGGTGTGGCAAGCACAATCATGGACAGCCAGCTTATGCAAGATCTCGGTGTCCGTCGAATCAGAGTGTGGACCTTATCTAAGGACATTAGTAGCCACAGGAGGCTTTTGCATCAGGCCCTGAGATGTTCCTGTTCGAACTTTAGAAAGATCAGTCCCAAGAATGAAAACGAGTCCTGAGAGGGAACACACTGTGGCGGGGAGAACACTGACAGGCCACTGCAGCGACCTAGGCAAGAGGTGACGGTGGCCTGGGAACGATCCCCAGGAAGGTGGAAGTCTCAGTCTTCACTAAAAGCTTAGAAAAGATGGCATCTATTTCCTTGCCTAGACAGCTGAATAAATGATGGTGCTGTCTCCTGAGGTACAGAGCCCCGGGGATGAAATGAGTTTGGTTGGGGTGGGTGAGGCAGGGTGATGACAAATTGATTTACTCTGAAATTTTAAGTTTTAATTAGCGTGTAACAGGTTCAATATGGTTTGTAGATGCAATCCTGAGAACATAATGATCCTCTTTCCCTCCTGCTCTCTCCCATTTTCCTTCCTTTTCACTTTTTTTAGTTTTTGAAATAACATTTTAAATTTATGTTATAGTATAAAAGCTTACTACTTCCCTAAATGAAGTTTAACAAAGTAAAGACCCTATTTTAGTGGAAACATAGACAATGGTTATAAACAGTCATTTCATGGGAAAATGACTACTTCTCTTATACATAATAAATTTTAAAGTAATCAGATCATGAAAACTATAGTAGTATAACATTCTGAACCATTAGTTTGAAAAAGAGATAAAGTTTGACAAAACCATACTAGCAACAGTGCTGGTAACACAGGCATTTCTTGTGTGTGTGTGTGTGTGTGTGTGTGTTTAATATTAGCTATCGCATATAAGGGAGAATGTGTGGTATTTGTCTTTGGTGTATGGATTGTTTCACTCAACATGTTCACCAGTAGTATCCATTTTACTGCAAATGGAATAGCATTCTTTTTCATAGCTGAATAATATTCCATGGTATGTATATACCACATCTTTGTGATCAGTCATCTATGGACACCTTGGTTGTTCCAAACTTGAGCTGTTGTGAACAGTGCTGCTATAGACATGGTGGTGCAGATACCTCTTCGATATAGTATGTTCATGTCTTTTTGGTACATACCAAGTAGTGAGATTGCTGGATCATCTGGCAAGTCTGTTCTAGGTATTTTTTTTTTTAATTTTTAATTTGTTTTTAACAGATTCAATGTGATTTGTACATAAAATTCTAAGAACATAATGGTATTCCCATCCTCCCTCCCTCCCCTTCCTCCCTCTTCTCACCCTTTTTTCCTTCTCTGTATCGCGTGCCCCCCGTCAGTCACTCGCTGTTTTTGTCATTTACTGTTTTTGAGATAACATGTTTTTAAATTACATTAAATAGGCTTAATATTTCAGCAAATAGGTTTAACAAGTAAAAAGCAGACGCTGTTTCAGTGGGAATATAGACAAGAGCTATAAATGACAATCGAATTGAAAAATGACCATTTCCACTTCTTCCATTATGAAGTAAATGTTAAAGTAATCACAGATCATTAATTATAGTAGTATATCATTCGTGTGTGTGTGTGTGTGTATGTGCGTGTGCCCGCCAATGTAGTAGCATTTATGAAATTTCATGGAAATTTTTAAACATTAGATATTTTTACCATTTCTTTATGTTCTCAATAATTAGACCATTAATATCTCAAATGGTAACTAGTGAGCTGGAGCACCTTGTTATTTCTATACTTTGAAAGTCCCCACCATCAAAACTCACGCTGACATATAATCTTTATTGTAAGGTATGGGGAGGACTTCTAAGAAAAGATTAGGTAATAAGGGTATGAGCTTATAATGGATTAATCCATTTATGGATTTATCAGTTACTGGTTTGTTATTAAAGCCAGTTCAGCTCTCTTGCTTGCATGGTTCCCTTCTCATGTGATGCCTTGAATCGCCTCAAGACCCTTAAAAGCATCCCACTGGCAACAAGATCTTTACCAGACCAGATGTGCACTTAGATTTATTTTTTTACCTAGAAACCTTTTATTTAAGGTATACAAACATTATGTATTTCATATATATAAATTTAGAAATTCAGTGATTGTTCCAACCCTACCCTCAATCCTACCTGTACTCTCACGCTTCTTCCTCCTCCCTTTCCTATTCCCATTATCTTTTACTGAGATCCATTTTCAATTAGCTTTACACATGCAAGATTAATCCTACAGGCTGGCGCCGTGGCTCAATAGGCTAATCCTCCTAATCCTCCGCCTGCGGTGCTGGCACTCCAGGTTCTAGTCCCAGTTGGGGCGCCGGATTCTGTCCTGGTGGCTCCTCTTCCTGTCCAGCTCTCTGCTGTGGCCCGGGAAGGCAGTGGAGGATGGCCCAGGTCCTTGGGTCCTGCACCCGCATGGGAGACCACCTGGCTCCTGGCTTTGGATCAGCACGGTGTGCCGGCCACAGTGCGCTGGCCACAGCGGCCATTGCCTGGGAGGGGGGTGAACCAATGGAAAAGGAAGACCTTTGTCTCTGTCCTCTGTCTCTCTCTCACTGTCCACTCTGCCTGTCCAAAAAAAAAAAAAAAAAATTTAATCCTACACTGGCTTCAATAAATAGTATGGGGAAAAAACTTCCTCAACAGTCAAGATGAGGGCTGTTCAAAGTCATTGGGTCTCAAAGTATCAGTTACAATTCTATAGATAATCTTTTAGATACTCTATTAGTTCCCATGGATCAAGGAAAATATATGGTATTTGTCTTTTTGGGACTAGCTTATTTGACTTAGTATAATGTTTTACAGTTGTATCCATTTTGTTGCAAATGACAAGGTTTCATTCTTTTATCACTGAGTAGTATTCCATGGTGTACAATAATTTGTGTAGTATTCAGTTGACAGACATCTGGGTTGATTAACCATTGTGAATTGAGCTGCAGTGAACATGGAGGTACAGATAACTTTGATATACTGATTTATTTTCACTTGAGTGAATTCTCAGGAGTGGGATGGCTGGATCTGTATTCAGATTTCTGAGGTATCCCCCTGTTGTCTTCCAAAGTGGCTGGGCCAGTTTACATTCCACCACCAGTGGATTAGAATACCTTTTTTTTTTTTTTTCCCCCTCACCAGCATTTGTTTGTTGACTTCTGTAGGATAGGCATTCTCACTGAGGTGAGGGGAAATCTCATTGTGGTTTTGATTTGCATTTCCCTGTTGGCTAGTGATCCTGAGCATTTTTTTATGTGTCTGTTGGCCATTTGAATTTCTTCTTTTGAAAAATACCTGTTTAAGTCCTTTGCCCATTTAATAATGAGTGGGTTGTTTTGCTACTGTTGAGTTTCTTGCTCTTTATAAAGCTGGCTATTAATCCTTTATTAGTTGCATACTTTGCAAATAATTTCTCCCATTCTGTGGGTTACCTCGTTACTTTGCTGAGTGATTCTTTTGCAATACAGAAGCTTTTCAGCTTGATGTAATCCCATTTGTGGATTTTGGCTTTGTTTGTGCTGCTGTGGTCTCTTCTAAGAATCCATGTATGCTAATGTCTTGCAAGGATTCCCCAGTGTTCCGTAGTAATTTGATGGTATCAGGTTTTAGATCTACATCTTTGATCCACTTTGAGTAGATTTTTTTTTTTGTAAGGTGACTTTATGTAGGGGTCTTACTTCATATTTTGCATGTGTAATGTAGGCAGGCATGCAGGATAAAATTGATCAAGTTTGAGCTGGAAGACCACACCTCATGCCCCTACCTGGCCACATCTGTGTGCTGACTGGCCAATCAGGTTACTTAATCATTCCCCTTTGGACATAGTTTGAAGGCTAGCCCTTTATTTTGGCCTTTAACCATTGTGGACTCATGCTGCCCTGTGCCTCCAAGGTGCGTGGCCTTTGGGCCACCCGCCCCATGCTTCTTGGCCTACGTGCTCCTTCACATGACTGGCTCCTGGTACTTGGGATGAATCCAGATTTCTCTCTCTCTAGTCTTTAGGGCCCTCACTCTCCTATGTATTTCTCCCACTGACTAAAAACCTTAAAACTTATGCTGCCTCACTCATGTATCCTGGAATTCAGAATTCTTCTCTGAATATTAGGCAAGAACCCACACAGCCTTATTAATATTGGGAATTTATTGATAAGCACACGGTAATACAGCATGGCATCCCATATTCCAATATCGTGTGGAGATCATTTTCCCAGCACCATTTGTTAGAGATTGTCCTCGCTCCAGGGATTGATTTTTGGCTCCTTTGTCTAAGCTAAGTTGGTTGTAGATGCGTGAATTGATTTCTGGAGCTTATATAGATGCATGAATTGATTTCTGGAGCTTATATTCTGTTCCATTTGTCTGTCCATCTGTTTGGCAGCACCAGGCTGTTGTGTCCTTTAGCATGTCTTGAAGTCTGGTATTGTGATGCCTCTGCTTTGTTTTTGTTGTTAGCTATTTGGGGTCTCCTGTGTTTCCATATGAACTTCAGCATGGTTTTGTTCTAGATCTGAGAAGAATGTCATTGGTATTTTGATGGGGATTACATTGAATCTATCACTTGCTTTCAGTAGTATGGACATATTGATGAAAATGTTTCTTCCAATCCATGAACATGGAAGATTTTTCTGCTTTCTTGTGTC